ATGCACGAAAACAATATTAAATCAACAATATTATAAATAGACCTCGAGTTTGAGTCACTCAATGGCGGAAGTAGAAACTATTGATCATATTTTAAAAGAGGAAAAAAATAATTATAAATTAAAGAGGAGGATAAACAATACTTAATAATTATAAATTGATGATTCGGGGTCAAACAATATAAAATTATTTTGTATAAGAAAATATAAAATTTGTATTATTTTGTATAAGAGAATATAAAATTTGGATGTTTAATATTAAAATACCTAAAATATTATATTAGTATATGGAAAAGTATTCAAAAATTTTTATATTATTTTTGAAAGATGTGAAGTCGCCTACAACTTTTCTAAACAATTTTAGAAAGAAAATATATCTAAAAATATTTGAATTTAATATTGTGCAAAAAAGAATTTTCTAGACTATTTTGTAAAGAAAACATGTCTACATATATTTAAATTTAACATTAATTAGGTATACGTGTGTGTATATATATGCATTTATAGACGAATATGTAAAAAAATGTCTAACCAATTTTTTTAAAGTATCTAAAATATTATAAGTCTAATTTAATAAAGACATTCAGATGATACCGAATTTATGGCGTTATTTTCATCTAACAAAATTTGATTACACATAATTTTAAAATTATTATTATACTTTTTATGTTGTTATCAATGATGTATTGCTAGTTTATAATATTTGCAAAAATATATAGTAAGAGAATTTTTTTAAATCTGTATAGATAAGGGATGAGATTTTTTAAAATTTTTTAAATCTGTAGATAAGGGATGAGATTTGTTTCTACCCTAAAAGAGAATAACAAATTTCTACCCTAAAAATCAGTCGTTTTATTTCCTTATTCAAAATTGTTGGACACTTACTATTTTTTTAGGACACTTTTAATGAAATTTGCGGGTGAATTTATCTAGACAATTGGCGGGTAATGTAGATAAAATTGGCGGGAAACTTCTAAAATGGTTATTCTTTTAATATAATTATAGGTTATTATTATTATATTATTACATTATTCAAATTAATAAGAAAAATCGGATTCTTTTGAACTAATCATTTTGTATATATCGAGATAAGACTGTGTTTTGTTGGAGTTGAAATCAATGTTTATCAACTCAAGAAAAAAAAGATTTAAATGTATCTAAAATAGTGTATAACCTAAAAAATAGCAAAAAAAAAAAAAAAAAAAAAAA